TTCCAGCAGTCAACATGAGGAACAAACTACACAAGGAATAAAGTGCTTCCAAGCTTTGTGCTTTTCATAGTAACAGCTTAATTTCTGAGCTTACCTGTAGCTGCCACATAGCTTGGAGTTTACTGTAGATCCATAGCTGTCTCGCCATTTTCATCACAGAAGTAACAGGTAGGAGTGTTGGTCTCTTCTCTCTGAGAAGCAAATGAATGACACAAGTGGTTTGTGGGTATTTATTTAACCAACATTCCAGTCATTTAACTAATGACCAGGGGAAGGAAGCGGGAAAAGGAGAAACAGAGCCAGTTTTAACTCAGCTTAATAATCTTCAAGCAATCTGTCCACACCTTTGCATATACAACAGCCATGTAAGTGTGCCATGCTGACAATAAGTGGTGGCCAAATCAACACTCTATGCCTCTGCATGAGCAAACTCTCAAAGAACTGGGCTGATAGTCCCAAATAGTTTGTTGCCCTACTGAAACACCTGATGCTCGTGACTATAACGACCTAGAACACACCTGATCTAATTGGGATTCAGCCTTGGTAATAGGCCTTTACCATCAGCACAGCAGGACATAATAAAGCCTCCACAATTAAGTAAGCAATAAAACTATTTCCTGCTTTTCTCTCTTTTAATAGTTTATTTATGATGGCATAAGCACTGAAATTGGTGCTATTAACATTTATTATACATGGTTTTGTTAAAGTTTAGCATTTTTCTGTGCTAGAAGCAACAAGCTTTGTCCACTGAGGTTTCTATTTAGCTGCCACAGGCTGCAAAGCAGAGAGGAACCGGGGGTCTGCAAAACCCAGCACTGTGCTCCGAGGCAGGTGCTCAGTGTTCAGGAATCTCTCCAGAGAGTACCATGGTGCGTCCAAGGTAGAATTACCACCTATTTTACCTATGTGCAAGTTTGGGGGTCCTTTTGCCCCCTTCTCTCATCCAAAACCCCAGTTTGTGCTATTCTATCTCTGTTTAACCCCACAGCTCCTCAGCCCCTGCAAAGAGAAGCATGAGGAGGGGGATTGCAAGTTCAGCCTCACCTCACAGCCTGCCTGACACCAGTGCAGGGGCCAGCACCTCCCCAGCTCCTCCACAGGGCTGGGGAAAAGGGGACGGCCAAAAGCACATTAAGGAAATTAATTCAGGTCTTGTTGAGACTTTAAAGTAAACGCTTGAGAAAGCAATGCAGGAGAGGGTCACAAATCTACACTGGCTGGCCTGTGCAGCCATGTCCACAAGGCAAAAGCTGCCCAGCTGCACCCACACCATGCTCCAAGCCATGATGAGAGCCCAGAGACACTCAGAGCCCTCCTGCCATGGCCTCAGCCCACAGACACCCATGGCCCACCTGCCATCGCCTCAGCCCAGAGACACCCATGGCCCACCAACACCCATGGCCATCGCCTCAGCCCACAGCCACCCACAGCCCTCTGGCCATTGCCTCAGCCCAGAGACGCCCATGGCCCTCCCGCCATCACCTCAGCCCAGAGACACCCACGGCCCACCAGCCACCGCCTCAGCCCTGAGACACCCACAGTCCTCCCGCCATTGCCTCAGCCCACAGACACCCACGGCCCACCAGCCACCGCCTCAGCCCACAGACACCCACAGTCCTCCCGCCATTGCCTCAGCCCAGAGAAACCTACAGACACCCACAGTCCTCCAGCCATCGCCTCAGCCCTGAGACACCCACAGTTCTCCCGCCATTGCCTCAGCCCACAGACACCCACGGCCCACCAGCCACCGCCTCAGCCCACAGACACCCACAGTCCTCCCGCCATTGCCTCAGCCCAGAGAAACCTACAGACACCCACAGTCCTCCAGCCATCGCCTCAGCCCTGAGACACCCACAGTTCTCCCGCCATTGCCTCAGCCCACAGACACCCACGGCCCACCAGCCACCGCCTCAGCCCTGAGACACCCACAGTCCTCCCGCCATTGCCTCAGCCCAGAGAAACCTACAGACACCCACAGCTCACCTGCCATTGCCTCAGCCCTGAGACACCTACAGCCCTCTGGCCATCGCCTCAGCCCCTCAGGACAGGAATGGCCTCCCCACAGCCTTCTATACCAGCAGCCTCACCTGCTGGGGCGACCCAGACTGTCACGTGAGAGCGGGAAAGGGGAGCCCTATGGCTGTGGGGCAGGAGGCCCAGTGCCTGTCACTGTGGGACTGCCCTTGCCCAGGCCACTGGAACCTGTGAAGTCTGAGAATTTCCACCAATGTAGACATTATCTTCTCTGTGAGTGCCTCAGGGAATAAAACAGTCCACGAGGTTACTGGAGAAGAGCAACTCTGCCCAGACACACAGGCAATCCTGCTAGAAATGTCTCAACTCCAACTGGCCACTAACAGCAATTAAAAAAAAAAAAGTATAAAAATGGTAACTGAAAAAGCATGGAAAGCTGCTCTCCAGCTGGTGGGCTCCTCCTGGCTACATAAGCAGTTAGGAGACCTCAGCAAAAAAACAATTCTATCTAGGATGAACAGCTGCCCTTACACTGTGGTGTGGTGTTTTTGCTGGTAGAGCCTGTGTGGTGCTGCAGGAAACAGTGCCAAGAAAGGGGAACTACCAGCCTCGGAGGTACACTGAGAAGCCACCTTCTCCGCAGCTGCTCCCTGACTGCTCCCTGAGGCCAAAACCACCCAGTTAGGGCAACTGGTGGCAGACAGGGGTTGTGGGGGCAGGGACATGTGAGGACACTGGACTGAGCAGGGAGCCAGGGCACGTCTCCCTGTCCATGGCCCCATGGGATGCCCCAGTCCATGCCTACATCCAACCCTCCCTGCTGGCACTGAGTCACTGGGTCCCTCAGAGCATCCTCTCTTCAGGCTATCAGAATCCAAGGCAATGGCCAGTTTTTCTTACTGACAATCCCATCCTTAAATACATTTTCACCATGGAGACCATCTCCCTCATTCATCTCTCATCCCTGGAGACACAACTTTGTGGGACTCCAACTCCTGCTTGTTAGCTTAAGCCAAAAGGAATAACTATCAACTAAGAATAAATACTAATTAACCTGAATCTTTCATCATATCGTGATCTGAACCAGATGCTATCTCTAACTTTAGGCTGCTTTGAGATGCAACCTCTATCTGCAGCAGGCAAAAATAAGATTCCTTCTTTTGATAAAGTTAATTGTGGGCCTCAACAAGACACATTTCTTGGCAATACTGTGCTCTTATCTTTAAATGCTGTGAACTCACAAGGGTTTGAAAGGTCTTACATTTTGAGTGCCTCCCATATGAGTTTTGTGATTGAGAATTCAATCCGGGAAACTGCCTATGTCACGCTGGAAAAAGAGGTGCAGTGAAGACAGCTTTAGCACTGCACACAAGCACTGAATAGCTGTCTCAGAACACTCAGCAAAAGGCTGCACAAGAGCACAGCCGAGATTTAGCCCTCCAGTGCAGGGGACAGCAGGGTGAAAGCCATATGGCATCTTCTGTTGAGCTGGTTGAAAGCAATAATGCTCTATATTCGTTTTAGTATCACTGAAAGAATAATAGAGCGGGGTGAAAACCAAAGATTTATCTGCCAAAGTGTATCAACATTTTCAAAGCTGCTTTGTTTTGGTTTTTTTTCATTTGTTGGAAGAAGCTCCAATGTTTTCTAAACTGCTGAAAACCACTGTTAAAAATTCCTGTAACAAAACTGTGGTTTTCATTATGACTGTTGGTACTTATGCAGATAACATACATAGAGAGAGGAAACTATACAAACCAGACTTACTGTAAAAGCCAAGACCTTTCATAAATGCAGCTGTGTTCCCTTGCAGAAAAATAGGTTATTTGGGGGAAAATATTTTTGGACTTCAAAAAACAGCGACAGGGATACCAAATAACTCTTGGCAAGAGCTGTGCAAATCTGAACGCTGCCCAGCTCCACCTCTCAGGCACCTTCTGTGCAACAGTCTATACTGGTAACTAGGATTAGCAATTTAATCTTCACACCACTTCAGCGTGGACATGTAAGTTTCAACAAGCCTGCAGATGAAGCCATAAAATCAAGCCTCTACCATTTTGAAGTTGCATAAACAGTGTTTAAGTGGTTTAATAGTGGGGTTTGTTTGTACAGCATGAATGTCATTGTATATAGCAGCTCAGCGAGTCTGAAGATGTGTCCAGCAGTGCCAACTCCTCAGGTGCTGGCACACCTTCCCATCCACAGACTCTCTGCTGCAGATCACCAAGGGCCTCGTGGTCTGTAAGGCATGCATCTCACTTGTGAGGCCAGAATAACCCAACCCCTTGTTACATGGCACAAGGAACTGCTTCTGTGTCCTCTGAAACAGACCTTGCTTTCCTAGAAGAAAGCCCTCAAATCTGTGCTAAAGGAACAAATGGCAGTTCTATCCTCCAGGACAGCTGTAATAGTCAAAACCACTGAAAATGAAGTACTGCTCTACCTTCTTCATGAGTCCAATCACCACCTGCCTCCTCTCTGTGTCTTGCAAGTGGCTGTTTCCTATGGTAGAAAGGCAGAAGTGAGCAGTGAGAACCACTGGAGATAACCAGAAGTTCCCTGATTCTTACCAAAACTGATGGGAATTACATAACCAATTTTTTTTTTTTTTTGGGAACTCTGTCAAATTTAATGCCAAAATTGCTCTTAAGTCTTCTATTTAGGGTACTGGCTGACTGTAAATCTCTAAAGGTACATAGTCAAGTGGAAACACCAGCCAAAATTTCAGCCACCTGAACAGTCCCAGGTGCCCAGGTGTATTTTAGGTACTGAAAACAACCTTTAAAACTCGAGTCAAGATTCCTTTCCTTGAACTGAAGGTTCATAATCTTTGATGAGTCCCATAACCAAATCTGCCATCATAACAAATGCAGAGGCATCTCCTTTCCTGGATGTGGGTGGTTTTGATGCCTGCACTGGTTATAAGCAGCAATGTACTAAGGGAGTACAAAACCATGAAATTTAGGAAGATGAGTAATGTATGAAGTGGAGGCAGTGAGAGATGATCCTCATATTATGTGCTTTTATTTAATAATGTATAAATAAGTAACAGCTCTCCCCAAACTGCCCCTCAGCCTAGCAATTACATGTTGGCTGATTTCTGGTTAGTGCTGTTCTTTTATAATAACAAACTGTTCCCAAAGCCTCACATACAGAGAATTAGACAATCAAAGTACTGTGTGCAATTTTCCACTTAATTCATTCAGTTAGTTGCAATTAAAACAATACAATTCAAGGCCTTGTGTGTTTCTCTGAAAAAATACAAAACTTTACTTGTTACTATTAATATATACAACCTACAAGAAAGTGTTAACAAAGCCCCTTTGTCTTCACTGTTGTAGTAGAGTAATTTTCTTATCTTTTTCTGTAGATGCCCTGGCAGTCATCAATATTTCTTTCAGTTGCTGTTCTTCAAAAGACACACACTTTTAATTCAACTGCACAGAAAAAAAAAAAAAAGAATCCAGTGGGACAAATTCCATTGGTGAGCAGATCCACTGTAGCTGCCTGGGAAGGAATCTAGGTGAAGGTGCAGGGCTTGCATTAAGGAGATGATCAAATCTATTTAGAAGGGAAGAGACACCATTTTATCAGGCAGTAATCAAATTTTTGTTAGATTTTACCTAGATATTTTACCTAAATATTTCATATTTCTGGAAAAGCAATGTTTCATGGCTAATGATCTCTGTTCACCCCCTTCATATAAATGACATACCAAGTTTTAGCATGACTATAGAACCTTTCCTCTTTTTTGTTTTATGGATCTTCACTAATACAACCTAATGACAATCTAATTAATATTATACCAGATTTGTGGGTGTAAAAGAGAACAGAATCTGTACCTGGCTTCACAAGAAAGTGATAAGCCACCCTATTAGAGCTGCTGTGACTGTCTCCCATACCACCAAGCTCCCCCAAAACTGGGCATTATTTCCATCAGGCATGAACACAGAGTGTGCAATGCTCAGAGAGCAGCAACATCTCTGCCTTCTGAGGATGCACTGTGTCTGTCCAAGTCTCACGATGTTTCCAGAGCTTCCGTGAACAAGGTATATCTCCACATTATTCTTGGTAGAAGGCTGTCCTCCTGATGTGCTGGTCTTGGGTATGTTAATTCAGTATTTCAGCTGTGCTTCTTGACAGAGGCTTGATTCAGCCTACTCCTGCAACAGAATAACAAAGCACTGATTTGGATCTTGTACTCTTAATTATTATTCCACCAACATAAATAAGCATTTTACTTAAGCTCAGTTCCTCAAGAAAGAACTATTGTCTGCTTTGATAAGATGGTATGAAATTTATCCAAACATTTATCGAACTACATGAAATCTTATTGGAAGAATATGTTCTGAGATTTTGTGAATAAAGTCCCTCAGGATAAAGTAACCCCAAAATACGTGTCAGAGCAGAGATTCCCAAAGTCTGGTCCAAAAGGAACTCACAGCTCATCTAGCGCTCACTTTTATTCTTTTCTTCCAGTACACAGCAGCATAAAAAGGCCAGGACAAAATAAAGAACCAAAATCAGCATTTCTTTTCCAGAAAGCCAGACCTCTGCCAATCCCATTTCCAAGAAACACTGTCCAGTATTTTCCTTCCTTCCAGTTACTGTTGTTCTACAAAGATGTTACACAGTGATGAATGACAAGGAAGGCAATTCACCAAACAAGGTACCTATTTCAAAGTTATTTTTATTAAAAGAAATGCTAATATCATACTCGTGGCATATGACTTTATCCTTGAAGAATGCTGCAATTTGCATATAATCTGGGTGAAAGAAATTTAGTTGAAAGACCACATCTCCAACTCTTAATGAATGTTCCCAGAAAGTCTAACAAAAGGAAAAAAAAAACCAACCACCTCTGCTTGGCACGTTTTTTCCAAATGTGCTTTCGTAGCTTAGGTTGCTTTCATAGAGATAACACTGGCAGACAGTAACTGTACTTGTTCTGTAATAAAGACACTTTTGATATGGCATTTCAGGGCAACTGGATTACTAAAAAAAAAGTTACAAAGCTAAACATATCATCAGTGTATATCAAGGATCATGTTATTATAATAAACTATATAATGTAAGGCACTGTATATGAAATCAAAGAGATATTTCATATCACTTTAATATGTTGACATTATCAACCAACCTATAAATACCAATAACATTTTCATTATCATCTACATTTAAGCTTCTTTAAGCTTTCAAGTGCCCTTATGTCCAATACCCAAACCCATGCAACTCAATTCCAGCAAGTAGCTCCAAAAATCACATCAAGGAAGCTCTTTATTGGTTTCTCTCAATGACTTCCAGATTAAATCTGCTCTTCCATAATCACAGAAAAGGTTTCCTGTGAGTATCTCATCTAAAAACACATGGTTGAAGTTAGGTATTTTCAGTGCTCCAACAAAGGACCATGCATCTAGAAAATAGTTAATAACTCTCCTGATGACTCACATACTGAAATCAGTGCTGACTCTTAGTATCAGAAGAATGAAACCATATTTAAGAACTAAAATAAGATTGTGGAGCACACAAAAGGAATAGGTTTGGATCTCAAAGTATCTACCTTTTACCCACTCACCTTTCAGACACTTGGGCTTCATTAAACTCCCAAATATCACTGCAAGAATGTGCACTACCAGTGAGTGCATAAATGCCAGAATGCCAAGGTAGGGAAGAAGCAGACATAAATCTGCTCACAGTAGTGTTCCAGATTGGTGCTAAAATAAGAGTTATGAGCTACATTCATTTCAAGTAAATATAAGATTATCTATACTCAGTTCAGGCCTTCTTTAGTCATCATCTACTTGGGAAGAAATTATAGCTTTATAGAACAGCATTCATTTTTCTCAGTGACAGAAAGCAAAAGTGAACAAACTCTTGCCCTTCTCCAGTTCAGGCCAAGGAGAGATCCATGCACAAATCCCTAAGGGTGACATCTACCCAGCACAACTCAGCTGCACTTACCCATTCTGTAAGCTCCCAGACCAAAGCAATTGGCTCAAGCCTCTGGAAAAAGAAAGGTTTCACATCAAAATATTCTTCCAAATAGAAGCTGAGTACACAAACTTACTACCTCTCCTTGTAACAAAAGCTTTAATTCATAATGTTTTGTAGAAGACAAGATCTTTACTACACCAGACAGCAAGAGAAACTTATAGTGCCCTTTCAGGCCTGTTCATCTTTAATAGTTGCAGTTACGAATGGACAAGTGTACTTCACACCTCCTAGAACAGGGAAACAAAGAAGAGCAAAACAAATCCTGGAGTCCTCCAGAAACTCAGCATTTCCACCTAGCTTTCTATTCAAATATTTCTACCCTTGATTATTGATACTGAACTGTAGCATTACAGTCCCTGGGTGGGCAAGGATAGGTTGGATTCAAATCTACACAGGGACCCCCAGCCAATGTCATTCAGCCCTAAATGCAGATGTATCATTGGCCAGACATCTGGATGGTGCTAAGACCTCAACAGATCACATGTGTAGGCTAGGGAAATTTGAGCTTCTGCAGAAGGAGCTGTGGGAATAAATTCAGAGCTGTTTGTCACAAGGACCACTGAGTGTGTGCTGTCTCTGTCTCTGATCCACACCCCTCCATGTTACACTAAACAAATCCATGGATGCACTGACTAGCAACAAATCAGCAGCAGCTAGTAAAATTAAACTGAGCTAGACATCATTGCTATATTGAACAAAACAGATTCTTCCCTCCACCAATAAGGACTAGAGCAGACATAAGTGCAAGAGCTGTGTGATGACAGACTTTCATCAGGGAAGGCAAACAGGCAGGCCTTGGCAGCTGTGTAAATTCTGTGGTTTGGTCCTGGAGGTTGTGGCTTCAGCCCCAGGTCCCAATTCCTTACCACAAACCACTAGAGATCTCTCTGAGTAAATGCAGGACCAGCTCCTTCTCAGAGAGGCACCATCAGATTCAAATATCATCCATGCAAAAGGCCTGCAGCTGAAGCATCCTGCCATAGGTATGGCTACTCAGCACAGCTGTGGGCATGACACCTTTCAGCTTGACAACAGAAGAAAATGTCCTGAGCACCTTCCATCCCTGCAGGCTGCCTTCCTTCTTGGACAGCCCCTCGGGATACAACTCAGCTGCTTTCTCTGAATCAGACACAGAGGACCACAGATTAATTAACGCTGCCTGTATCCCAGGAATATCCTGGGGACCTTAACCACAGCCCTTGGCCATGCTCCACTAGACACTTTCCATGCATTAGGCAAAAGGCAGGCTCTGTATGTCAGGGCTCCTCCAAGAAAGGGCTGTCCACCTGCAGAGCAGCAGCTTTTGAATCACTCCAGAGTCTAGGCTGCTATTCCCAATATCCAAACGTAGCCAGCTCAGCCTGTTACTGTCAGTCTTTCTGAACTCTGGCAATGAGGCAAATCGGCATGAGCACCAGTGGTCACAGCCATCCAGGCACTCCAGCCAACACAAGATACAGATGAAAGTCATGCATGGGGCAGCCCTTGCTTTGCATTTTGGTGCGGATGTACACAGAGAAAGGAGCGAGGGCAGAGCTGAGACAGTGGGAAGCTCAGAGAGAAGGAGGGTATCTTACTTAAAGTCACTCTAAAGCATATTACAAATCTGTTAAATCATTGTGGCTTACCCTATATTTCAGAGTAAATTAGTAACTTTTCAGAAGGAGTGAAGAAACTACCACTCCACTTTTAAATAATGAAAATGCTAAAAAACCTACACTTAACAGCTCTAAAACTGCAGCAAGTCACCCACCAACACCCACTCCTCTTGTCAGCAGGCTTTTTTCAGCTTTGCCTATTATTTGTGTCAAGTCAGAGATGTCTAATATTTGCTGTGCTTATCTACTGAACTTTCAGGAGCCCCAAATGTTACAATATGTACCTGTGCCACTGACCTTTTTCCCCACAGCATTTTGATCTAAATAAGTAAAAACCACAGAGTTTCCAAAATCATTTGGATTCACTGCTCTGAGTGCATAGCTGTAAAAAATCTGCTTTAAGATTAACATCCAATTTTATTCATGCCTGAGGCTTCACCACAGCATCTATTTTTGTAAGATTAACAGCAAGATCCCAGTTCTCCAGAAATGTAAAGAGTAACAGACAATTGTAAAAGGAAGATGATGTTTCCTAACCTGCCCTGCTCACATCCAACAAGGTGCATTTTCCTAGCCCTTTCCACGTTGGGTGTAATTTCTATTTGCATTTTTGCACCCACAACATACAGTATGTGTATTAGTCCTTCTCCCATTAGCTGGAATGCAAACTGTGGGTGCCAAAAAATACTAACATAAATCTCACATGAGCAAAGCATCCCCTGAAAGACAGCTTTTACGCTGGAGGAGTTAAGAAACAGCCATCTTCCAGCACCTTGCACAAGAGCAGTTTGAATAATCTCTAACTTGAAAATAAAAGTATAGAAAATGAACACTTGATTTTTTGGCTAATCCATTTGAAATGCGTATACATAAAAACCATTTCTTTTTGGACATAGCAACCTGAGGACAAATTGAGGATCATTTTTAACCTAAATATCAGAGGAGATGTTGCTTTAAATAGCTTTTGGTGTCTGTCAATTAGAGCTATTGCATTGCTGTCAACTTGCATTCCTGCTTTAGTTCCAGCTTTGCTCCATCCTACACAGATCCCTACAAATCAATTGTCTCTTGCAAACGTGCACTAACCACTGGAAAGTGAAATTAATAAAGTGTGAGAAAATCTGATTCATAAAGCTGACACTGCTGAGCCAAACAACTCTTCATATGGGCAGGCAAAGTCGTAAAAGATTATCAAATTGCAACTGTCATTCCTGACAAAATGCATCTCAATGCTGGAAGGAATTTTAGGTTTTAGGCTAAACCACCACCTCAAAGGGTTCCTCAGGGCCTGTCAATATCTGTACTTTGGATGGAAAGCTACCACTGAGCGCAGTGTGCCCAACATACAGAACCTGCCACAAAATGAAGTTCTTCATAAGAAAGCTCATCTCAGTCCTGGTTGGTAACAATAACAAGGAGACAAGATGAGACCATCAGTCTCAATTGTGAAGACAATGTTTTCCTCCCATATTATTCTGTCTGTCATGTTCCCTTCAGGTTCCAAAGGAATCCCTGTCTCATATATCATTATTTCCCACAAAGCTTGAAAGCCCTCAGGGGGGGTTTCTCCC